ATATGAGGTTGTCGTGGTCTAAGTTTATCAACCAATTATGGCTATTTAATACGCACTTTTCTGAACTACTGTGTCTCTAATTCAACTGTTGATGGTTTTTCAACCATAATTAACGAACCAAAATCTACGAAGTTATAGGAGGTAATATCTGCATTAGTTTATTAAACGGACACCATAAGCTTTGACGGCTGCGCATTTGCCTTAGGGTAACGTCCCTTCGGTTCAGTTCCATCTACTCACCGATATGACTGTCCGCGATTATCACTATTTGTTTTTCATGATAAATCACCATTTGGTGCAACAATGGTCACTGTTGTAATGTGAGAGCAAAAACAGGTATACGTCTCTAGGCTTGTTTTTGATCCACATTATATCATGCAGCACCCATACTTTTTACTTAATTAGTTTGACTGAGGTGAACAAGTAAAAGGTTTCTATGCAGCAAACGTGAGTATTAATGGCCCAGCATTTTGAGGTAATTTGGCTGCTACTGCGTCACCTCCAAGTGGGGCCTTCCATAAAAATTTCGACTTAAAGACTTGCGGGTCGAAATTCTTCGAACCAATGGTTTAGTGTTTAAAGCGAACTTCTTTGGCTAACCGGTTCCGTCGCTGTAATTTCAAGTTAAAATTTACATCCATAAACTATTCATTTTCTGATTTTCGAAGGCATACGGAAACTCCCCTACTTGAAAAACACTATACGATTTAGCAATTCAAATTTAAAAAATACTCGGTAAAAAAAAATCTCGGGTACAAAAAGATGGCGAAATATCGCATTATAGCGTCAGCTTGAAGTGTGAGATTAATGTTCATCATTTTTCACACCAAGCGACCGAATATACACATGGCTAGACTACCTTACTTAGAATATAGTCTTATTTCAGGAAAATCAAATTATCTGTTAGTTTTTTTAGACTGAAATGCACATATTGTTCTTTGCTTTATCGATGTTCCAAAAACTTTCAGCTGGATATTACAATACAACGGATGGCCTTAATGGATTGGAAGTCGCTTCCATGGAGCTCGTACCTCTTGAATATTGGTGTTTTCGGCTTTCTTAAAGCTTTTAAGACATTAGAGTACGCAGGTGAGTTTAGTTGAGCTGATATTTTTAGTATATTTATTTCGCTCGCTATACGGTCGTAATTATCCCGAATTCTTAAAGAAGAATAGAAGGACGCTCGTTTTTGTAATTATCAGTTGCGAAACTTTTTAGTGCCTACGTGATTTCTATTGCTTATCAATTAACAGTCATTACGGCGGTTGTATTTGCAACAACGCATTTGTATGATGAAGTAGAGCTAGCTTGTAGGCATGGGCTAACTGACATTGATTTTTTACGGTTGGAATAAGAAAAATTAAGCTTGTACGCGGAGGATGGGTGTAGTTATATAGGTAGAACTAGGAGAAAAATATTGGATGAGAAACGGATCTTAGCTCACATTACCATCCTCCGATAGGCGGATTATCCTCTCAAAAAAATGTCAGATCTTGCGGATTGTTTACCTTTTCATAATTTCGTAGAACACCATTAGATCACGGTGGCTAGTCCAATAAACAACAGATCAGTCGTAGGTGACGCCAGACTTCTAAAATGATTGAATTTCTAAATGCCATGGAATCTTGATGCCTTGTGAGTTTACGATGACGCAAGAATTTTAGAAAAACTGAAATTCGAAGAAAATACGCTGTTAAAGATTTGGGCTATAACTTTGGGCAAACCAGGGTTTCTTGCTAGTCCTAAGTGAAGGAAATGCTGTGTATAAACTCTACATTAATTCAATTCAAGCAAAACTGATAAGTGTAGACTAGGTAAAATGTTATAAATACATTTCACACAAAAACCCCAACGGAATTAACTTTTAGGCCGATAGTACGCCAAATGTCTCAGAAAGGTAAGGGTGCAAAATTCGTGACGTGAAAAGCTGACCGTTGGAGCTTATTTAGATGATCCAATTGGTAAAGAGCAACTTTCTTTTGAAAAGCCAGTAAGCTATAATGTAGGAAGTCTAGGATTATCAGAAATGGGTGTTTAAACCATTTTAATTGGTTTCAAGCCCTTTAAGACAAAACTTCATCGAAAATCGGAAGACGTTTGGAGTACAGCAACGACGTTAATATCGTTTTCCGCTAAAGAAATTCGGTGCAGATATGTCCTGTGTGAAAAGATAAATCATAGTTGATTTTCCAAGCTCTCGCTCATGGGCAGACGGGAGTTGAGTTGATATACTTAGTTGACACATTTAAGATATAAATCCTTTAATTCTATTATGTTCATGGTAAACAATAATAAATTATCATGCCAATGGCTAAATAACAGGCACACATTATAATCTACGGAAGCAAATACTTGTGTCAGCCTTAGCAGCAGTTCGTCAGCACATAATATATTGAGCGATATCCTAAAAAGTGAAATCTCGCTTGCTATGTTTTATATAGCTATCATACTATCGCAACTAAAGTTTTTTATTGTTGGATTTAATATTTGTTGCTATCTTTTTTTAGTTGTATTTATTTTTTTAGCAGTTCAGCAGTTAAAGAAATCATCGGGAGTAATGTAAAATAGATGCTTTTTGAATATGAGTTTTTGAGGCACGTTTTGGTGTATGACGAGTTAGTGAACTTCTATTTTGTTGCTAATTTAATTAGGTGATGGCTAGTTTCTGCTGTTATATTAAATCAATGTCTATAGGCATTAGTTTAATTTCTATTTATTTTTATTCTTTATTCGTAATTGCCATATACATATGAATACCATCTAAGTTCTATATATTTTTAGTACCACGCTGTCCAAGCGGACTTTTTTTTTTAAATCTGATGCAAGATACGATCTTTGGAGTGTTTTTTTGATAGCTAACGGCTCTCTTTCTGCCTTAGATTTTTTTTTCGAGATTTAATGGACTATGTAGGGGTTGCTTATATATTGATGTAAAACTCATCGTGAGTTTCTTCTGTCTTTTATTGATATGTATGCCTCACTTGAGCTTATTTTAGCATGTCAAACCCAATACCCATATTTTCTATTTTTTGAACGGATGCTTCCATTCATCATTTCGTTAAGTTGGTTTATGATGCAGCCGAGCCATATAGCCGAATATGAACCTTCCTATTGCCAAGAATGATTTTTTTGCTGATTTTGCTTGATCCATTGTTTAGTATTTATGGGGACGCGCATATGTGGGATTTGATACCTAATTCCTCATCGGTGCTTTGTTTAAATTGAGCCACATGTGTTTTTGTTTTGCTTGTGCTGAGACACATATCGATCACACGTAGCCAATTGTCAGTTTTGCCATTTATTTCTGTTACAGTTTATCTCTTGCGCAATTCCTAGTTAGGATGCGAGTATCATCAGTGGACTGCATATTTTAACTAGAATACAGATTTCATGGAGATTATACATACGTATTGTCAAAACAATAGGTCCCATAACCTAATCGCACGGGACATTTTTTTAGTAATTTTTTAGATTAGGACTCGCTTTATTCTGATCTTTTATTTGTTTTTTTATGTTATGGTTGAATGTGAGTGACCAGTGTTTTAGCTATATTTCCTAGGCTGAAATATTGCAGCTTTTTAATTAGATGTTAACTATTAACACTATGAGATCCTTTTCTTTAAATAAAAATTATATTTGCTTATTTATTATTCTTCGTGGCTTTCCTAAGGAAACTTTTGGCCATTGCCATTGCACTTCCTGTATTTTTACTAGCCCTGATTCCGTATTGGTTTTCATGAGTAGCTTTGCATCTATATAGAAATTGAGTCAGTTAATTATTCAAAACAGTAAAGACAGTAGATATTTCTGTTAATCAAAGATTGCCAAGTGTTGATTTGCCATCATTATAAGTAGAACGCGCTTACATTTATTTCAACTGTGTTCGAAAAAAAAATTTTGAGCGATACCCGGCTTCTACGGCAGTAGACATACATCTATAGGGATTTCATCATCATCAGCCGCTAGGGTTTCAAATTTCATAAATAGGATTCAAAATCATTGCTAGAAAATATTCTAGAAGTTAAAAGCTAATTTGTTTCCAAACAGCATTTAAAAAGCTCTAACTTGTCTAAAAAGTGTTGTAATAAAATATTATAAACGTAATAATAATAACAAAAGTGATAGAAAATTACCTGAGTGGTAAGCCGGAAAATACAGCCGGTTAATATTAGGAAACCCACATTGCGAACTAACCAAGAAACTGAGCTACACGTTGCAATAAGTCTCTAGGAATAGCACAACCATCGGAAGAAAATCCTTTAAGGCAAATTTAGTTCTATAGAAGACAGAAAACTATTGCGTTATATCATCCACATTTCCGATGAGTAATAAAATCGGAAAAAAGGCTGCTGGATCATGACATCTTTGAGGAAGCTTTTATTATGGTTAATGAAATTTGCTTTAATAAGGCTTGAAGCAGACTCAATACACACGTATCGCATCACGAATTTCTGCTACTGAAAGGCATTAAATAAATAATTTTTAAATATATTTTTAACATAAATTATAAATATATTTTTGAAAATAACTTGCGCTATGTTTTAAATGAAAAGGAAAAACGGTGGCAGCGACACTACACGAAATGCTTCCTTAGGAGTATCGCTTGTTGAAGCACTGTTTATTATGCTCTTTTATAGTATAATTTTTAATCCATACATAACAAAAAATGGCATCATGTTTTTTCATATATAGCTGGTACACCGTATGTGCATTCTAACGAGAGACATTTTGTTTAGATAAATTGGATTCGCATCGTACATTTGAAAGGCATACTGAGATATATAAGTATTTAAATTCAAAGTAAATTTATGATTTCCGCCCTCATATTTTCCTAAGACAAGAGAATTCGTTGGTATCTCAACAAACGCATGGTGTTCTCTATGTAATGTTATGCGGTATGTATCAAATTCTCATTGCAGGTGAGGTGTTGTCCTATAAATTAGGAATTACTACTCCAAAATATCAATCAGAGATTGAAGAGGCCGCAAGAATGGAGGCTGAAGAGGTACTATATAATATGGACTTAGTAGCACTTAAACGGAATCAACGTTCTTAAACTTTATTATGGTTATACTTACTCTAAAATATAATCTATAATAGTCAAAAATATAATTTCTTGGTCTCATGGGCATAAGTAAGAAGTTAGTTCATACGTAAATAAAGCAGAGTTAATTGGCCACATTTTCTTAGGTTTAACGGCGAATTGTTTTACCTCTTTTTTTTTGTTAACTTCGCCACAAACTGGAGCGGGAATTTGAACATCCCTACGTCGGTTTCTCCTTAAAACAGGGACACGTGTAAAACACATGTGACAAAAGTTTATCTCGCAAAAACTCAATTATTCGCTACCTAGTAATTGGCTGATCTGTTTCCTTACTTCTTAATATTACTTTAATATTTTTAAAAACGCATGTACCCTTTGCTTTCTATTTTCTGGGGTTAAGTTATGACACCCGCTTTTGTTTCATACGTACCCTGATTTTATAAAAGCTATCAAAAATAGGAACCAGTATAAAAAATATTCGCTATTTAGTATTTTTTGCTGATCTCTTTCTATGCTTCTTAGTATTAGCTCATCTTTGTGAAAACATATTATATTCTTTTCTAATCTCTGGAACTATAAAAATTCGACCATCTAGGAAGAGGAACGGAAGCGAGCTGCGAAAGACGCATCTTGGGGCGTGAATACAATTGCAGAACACGAAGTTTCTTCTGCGCCGTCAGTGACGCCGGTTCATCGTTTGCATGATTTTATGCCATCGCCTATCGCTAGTTCTACGCCAGTTCCGTAGGTCGAGACGAACATGGAACACATCCTGTTTTATACTGATTCCCAGCCCACTTAAAAGCCTTTAGGTTTGTGTTCTTTACACCATGAGTCAATTATTTCGAGTATGTGCAAAATGATACTGGAATGACTTTACATTTATAAGGTGAAAATCTACTGACATATCTTTTACCGTATTAGATATACTTAATAGTTAAAAAGTTTCGGGCTATTGGTCTGCGGCATTTATATCATAATGTGGGCTGTAAGTAAATAAAACACGCTTTGTGACTAATCCTAATTTAATTATTAATTTATAAGCAAGTATTGTTTTTTTTTACTTCATACTTCTAATGTGTGTACAAGATATTAGGCGCTCCTTTTGTAATGAGTCAATTATTAGCATATAAATATATAAACACACGTTTACATATATATAAGCTCCAAGCGAGTGGTTGTGAAGCGCGCCAGCGACAAAGATAAACCAGTCCGCTTTATTTTGATAGCAGTGATGGCGATGCGGACATGTTGGTGATCCGATCTGTTTTCTGCATCGGTTATTGGACGACGTCGTTGATATTTGGTGAAACCTTGCCGATAAGGTGGATCGAAGATCGAAGGGGTCCCAGGTGAGAATCGCAAATCTTCGAGCGGCTAACTAAAATTAGAAGTGTAGTAATACCTGCAAGAGACATGCCAGTTGTGGTTTGACTCGCGTACAGGAAAAGCGACTACACAAAATGGTTTCAAGAATAAACCATTTTAAACGACCGTTTTCCGCCAGAGGAAAGCGCCTAAGTTACTTTTTGATAGCTATAGTAAAAATAGAAAGACGTTCCAAAGATTTGCGTATGTTAAAGGAAAACTGCTAGATGAGGTGGAGATAAAGCTCGAATCTAATTTACTTCTGGGTAAAGTCCCAAGAACCGTAACACTGGACAGTTTTGCTAACCTTGTGGCAGCAGCAAAGATAAATTTCTACGCCGAGAGTTAGTTCGAGACCATACGTCGAAAAAGTCCGACATCCGCTTTCGGGTTCCGAAAGAGGGCTTATCGATAAGCAGAGCCCGCATACTGCAGTTATTAAGGTACGTCAAATTAAAGCGACAGGATTTAGTTGTGCCGGCATGGTGAGTTTCGAAGACCGTACTCTGCCCTTATACCTCCGATGAAAAGACCAAACTATTTAATTTTATTTCAAAGGGCATCAACTAGTTAATCATCGGTGGCAAAATAGATAATAGGTTCACTATCAATGATGGGACATTTTGTCGAATCAGTTGAAGAAGATAGTGACCAGTTTTTTCTCCTACTAATAACACCTACTCATGGTTATACGGATCTACCTTAAGATGGGTCCATACAGCATTTTCGAAACAAACAACTTCGGGAAGATCTCTGAACACTTAAAGACTTTAAGGATATCTCAGAAAACTTCTTATATTCTAGACGAACCAGACGTCAACAAGTACAGGGCTACTTTCCGAAGTACTCTAAGATACGCAGCTGGCGAAATTAAACCTCTTCGCAACAGTATATTCAATGATGTATGCAGGAGTGCTTTCCAGATCCAGATGGGTACTAGCCGATTAGGTGTAATTTACCCAGAAATGTGTCTCCTTATCTTACGAATCTAAATCTTACGAATACAATGTGAGGAGGTCTAGCGGGCTGAATACAAGAAGCTCCCCTTTTGCTTGAGGTGAAGCAACAGCAGGGTAGCAACTAGCCTTTTCAGGATTTTGAAAAATGCGTGTCACAACGGATTTATATCAAAGAGGTACCTCGCCTAGAGTATTCACGGATGTCTCTTTTTTCGCGTTTGGTTTGATCTTCTTCACGTTGAGGCCGGCGTGCCGTGTTACTATTTACATTAATTTTCGAAATAAGTTAAACAAAATTGGTAATGGTGTCGCGTTTCAGCTTCTCGATTAGTTCGTATGACATATACGCATCACGTCTGAGTTCGACCTGATAAATATAAAAAAGCCTTTTTACTACAATATTCTCAATAAACCATATATATATATATATTATTATATGTCTACTTCAGTATTGTAACAGTGTTATTTCTATGGTAGGTACTCTCCCTAACTAGTTTCCGTTCTTTATGAATCGGAAAAGTTGCTATATTGTCTTGCCTCTTTGGCTAGTCCGACAGATGTATTTTATGTACAATCCAAGACTCAAAAACGCCTTTAACAAGAATCTCTTCGAATTCTGTATTTGTTGCTTCCGCCGATACTCTGTGCTAAAACTCCTGCACCGGCAACGTAAGGTCATAGTGTGTAAACACTAATTTCGATGTCAAAATCTTCTTGATCCTTTTAAATTAGCCTCGAATCGAGTGTTTTCCTTTTACCTAATCGTACTTAGAATCTCACACGCATTACAACATGAAACCTTTATTGAAATAACCTGGATATGAGCGCTGCATACAAACGATACCTGCTGTTTTTTTAGTAACTTGGTATTCGCCTATCATCAATGATAAAACATTAAGTTTATCCGGCCAATTACAAGAATTTAAAAAAGCTTAATTTTGAAACCATACTAAGCGATCTGGCTAAATACTTTACTCAAGTAGCCAGTATGCTCTGGAATTTTTCTATCGTAGACAATGATATCAGCAAACTCCTTTCATCCCACGATCCCCGCCAGCGTTAGGTCCATCGTTTCAAATACCTCTGCCTAATACTTGACACTGAAAGGTAAACAATTTTACCGAAACGATTCCCTTGGTTGCTAATCGTACTGAAACCTTACTTCATTAGTTCTAGGCCTCCAAAAGTGTTGCCTGATTAAAATACTAAGCTGGAAAAGAGGTTCCGCCTTTAAAACTTGATTTTTTCACTTCTCCTCGTCTGTTGTTTACCCCTGATGTACGATTTCAGAGCACCCTTCCTACTGTATCAGTGTGCTATAGTATTATGTATGAATGCAATTTTAACTCGAAATAAGTTTGAACTAGACATTCCAGATAGAAAAAGTGCATTTTCGAGTGCATGAATCTCGCCGAGACTGAAATGCTACCGAAACAGCTTGGGACATTTGTCCTCTATACAATAACGATGCTATCACTAAAAGGACCATTTAATAGCTGTACCATATTTTGAAAACGGTATCCGGAACCTAGAAGATGTCCTCCTATTCTTTGACAAATAGCAGAGAGTCGCGAACCATGACAGGGGGTACATAACGTAATTACTTTTGTCACAGGAATAAAAATATGATGTCCTCTATGTAGTAGAAGACAATGAGAGAGCTTTTTCCAACCATACCTTACAACATACCTTGATTTACCTTGGTAAAGCTATCTGATTTGCGGGATTCAACTTTAATCGAACGACTGAGCTGCGACGCAACGGTCGAAGGTAGCTGACTTCAATCTGATAGCTTCTTGAAGATGTTTGAGTTTTCTTTAATTCCATAATTTCTAAATAGTATGATTGGAACTCTTTCTTCAGTTCAGAAAGAATCACGTTCTATAAAAAAAAAAGTAAATATATTTAGTCTACTCGGGACTTTTCTTGTACAAGGATTCTTAACATATTCAATCCTCATTTCCATGAGTTTAAGTTAGATAACGGTTCGTTGTGTAATTAGGTACCTGGATATAAACAATCTATATTTTTTAATATCTTGCAATTCACGGAATTCAGCTAGTCTTCCAAAGTGATGAGCGACCGCGTTAACATTGAACCACCTACGAGCGTAAACTTAGTTAGTATTTCATGTTGTTTTAAACTTTCACATTTCATTACCTATATAGATACACACCTATTCTACCATACTTCTGTTTTTGTCCCACGAACTAACTAGGTATATTCTGCTAACTACCTGCGCCGACGTGCTTTGAGTTCGGCAATGAACCTAATGTCCTGGTCAGTAACAATTTGCACATGGGCGTAGAGAGAAGGCCAAAAAGCGCGAATATTTTGGCTAACATGCGGTCATTAATGTAATGAAAGACTTCTGCTTAACGAAAGATGGATAAATTTTGTATATTTGATAATACTTTTTTTTTACAGAACTCTTCAGCTATTTGTATATCATATGTAACCATTTACTTGCAGCGTTTGTTTGCTACACGTGTTGCTTTCCGAAGAGACCGTTGTCGACCATTCTTCACAACTTCTAGCCTTTTCCGGATTTATATAATAATACCGGTTTTCTACATTTTACTTGATTATTAGCTAATAACATTGATTCAATCTTTTAAGCTAAGCAGCATGCGCTTACAATGGTTGCACAAATAATTACGCAAGTTTTTCATTTAAAGGCGCCAACATTAAAGTGCGCAAAACAGGATAACTCTTCTTACCACTAGATTTTTCGTACTCTTTAAGATTTAGACGTTTCGAAGACTCCTCTTTCATTATGTAAAGCTTCTTTCATATTTATTCAATCTAATCATGTTTTTCTTGTTGATTTTAGTTTGCAAATTTTACTTAAGCACTCACCATATGCGATTCGACATTACAATGGTTTCCTTAATCAATTTGAAGTTTATCGCATATTTTTAGATATTCTATGTGTACCTCTTTTATTAATTTAATGTAATTATAACCCATACCACTGCCACTAATTGTAACCCGAAATCTTTGTAACAACACAACACAAAACCTCCAGTCCTCATCACTCTTTATGGTTTTTGCCCTCCAAACTATACATCTATTCGCGTTTAACAACGGAGCTACATTACTTCAGTTCATTACTTGCTATAATTTTGCAGTCCATCTTACCCTTTTGCATAGCAATTTATTATTACTCTTCTCTACTATCTTGTTCTCTCTCATCTAGCCTGCGCGATTCGTGTAAAGAAACGCCGCAGTTTAATAATCCTTACTGAATAATATCTTGTTTCTAGCAGGGTACTAGTTGGATGATCTGATAAAACAATATTTTCCTGTAAAGCAAGCGGTTGTATGGATTTTATCTCTCTGCCGGTCAACTAGACACCAAACTGCATGACCAAATATGAATATAGCCGCCTCTTCGCTGTGCCATATATGTTTGCGCAATAGAGGTGCTTTCACTCTCGCTGCTAACCGAGCGTAAGCTTATTATGAGCAGAGGTTGATTGTGATTTAAATTATTAATGCTGATAACGCTTTCTTCGACGATATCAATTAAATATGACCTATCGTACATACAAGCGATACATCAGAACGAATGGAGTGATTGAGCGGCGTTGTTGCTTCATGGTATATTGGCATACATTGGTATGTGCGCACCTATAAAAATATAAGAATTGCTAACTGCTAGGTAATCGGATTTAATCATCTTGGATTAAGAAAAACCAGCGATCCAACCTACCTATCTGCGCTTACTGTTGTTATGTGGTACTAGTCGGCTAGCTACGTACTAGTTATCACGCTCGCCGGCATGTCTTGTGTCCAACATGATGTTTGCTTCTTATTTCAAGAATTCTTTTTGTAAAGTCTGTAACATATGCAATATTTGAATATTATATATTTGAAGTTTTGTACTCTTTACATTTATGTTTTTGTCTTTTCTTTCTGCTGATCTTTTGTATCGACTTGCGGAAGTATTTTTTACCGGCTCATTACTCTTAATGATGACATATAACAAACGCGCCTGAAGAAGGAACGAATCGATAAAACTGCAACCTTTTACTTACACCTTATTGGGTTGTCATTATGTATACGAGCCACTGCTTTTTGATACGCCGCCCATCGTATGTGTATAGAATGCTGCCTATACAAATGAATGAATTTTGTGACTGCAAGTAGTGATTATTTTGGAACTTTACTAACTTCGATCGGTTTGGTGATCTCGTCTACAATATTAGTCTGATACGATCGCTTGACGATGATCTATTGCAGAGCTTATAACAGTTAGTTGTTCATGGACAACAAGCGGCCACAATGAACTCGCTTTTCATATAAGTTACTTATCTTTCCTTACCATTGAAATTTTCTCTTTTACGTCCACTATCTACTCACGTCCATATAATAATCACGAGTACCGTTTCGGTTTAGTTTTCACAGATTTTGGTTTCCTGAAATTGTAGACACTACCGCGTGCCTTATTAACTTTCTTTTTTCAAAAAAAAAATAATAACTATTTCCTTGCTTTGAGAATTTCATCAGTTCCGTTACACGAGCTTTAATATTCATTGATCGTACTAACTTATGCGTGTTACCTATTAAATGACGATTTAAACTGCATATAATGTATAGACACTGAACACTTTAGAACTCTATCACAGGTTTTTTTCTAATATGACAAACAACACCACTTTATATCGAAAGTTCATCTGCCTCATTAATTTCTAGTTGGTAGCAAAAAGTACGTATTGTTATTATTATAAACACATTATTACGGTATATTAAAATGATAATGTTTCACTTTTGATCATTATTGCAACAATAAACAACCGTAACTAGAAATCACTATAGCATAATAGATAATAAATATCGGTAATTTTTGAAGTTTTAAAAATGGCCTTAAGGCTTTCAACAAGCTTCTCAGTTTGAGTATTTTTAAATTCCAAGATGGTCATATCAAAAAAGAAATTCCTGTGAACAGCTTATAAGCAAGAAAAGTGGCTCTGTCTAGGTTTTTGCAAGAGGGAAGCATCTCTGTGCTGTCGGGCGTTTAATATCTAAAGATTCCGATCTGAAGGTATCATTTATTTAATCGTAACGGAATGCTCTTTTGATTAATTGTACAACTAACCATTTAAAACTACACTACATGTTAAGTTAGTGGAGGTATGTGAAGCTGCAAAGCAAGACTTGGTTTTTTAAGTAATTATACGTATATAGAATACAAACGCGTTTTAAATTAACGAACAACCGCCCGGGTCTGTCATAGCAGGACAAGCAAAATCATTCTTTTCATCACCTTGTAACTTGTCATCATTTTAGCCTGCTGCTCCGGCTGCTGTTGTCGGTCGATAGGTTGGTTAACTAGTTAGCTGTTCGCAAACACGGTCAACGGTAATAACACAAGCAAATACAATCAGCCGATGATACACATAGATGAAACGACAGGTTTGGTCTGAAGTGCAAAGTGTATCGCGAGTGTTCTAGTAGGAATTAGTTTTGTGCTTATCATAGTACTCACATAAACCAATCCTTTAGCTACAAGCGAAGTACGCTGTGTGCAGGGTAAGTAAATCGCATTCTGTTGGTTCCGCCATGTTCTTGGCCCCACGGAGAAACGTCCTGGCCATCGTGCTGCTGGTCGGAAGCTTTTTGGCCTGCGTATCCGCTGAACAACATGGTAAGTGTAAAGTTATGATCGTACACGTATTCACAATTTAAGCCACACCCCATAATTTTACTTAATATGAAGATTTTGTAAATTTCAACCGCACAGTCCTTAGGTGGATTTTTTTTCTACTACAAAAGCTAAGGAGATCTTAATCCGTTATATAATGATGTTAGATATCATATTAAGTTCTAAACATAATTCTCTAAGCTTCTAAAGTATTCAATATGCTCAAATCAAGTGAAGGCCAGTTTGGTTCTGTTAAATTCGACTAAATGACTGTCAAACACCACATTAAAAAACCTCAAATGTGCTTTACTGATTCGGAGTCTCTGTGCCATGTTTTGGTTAGTTCATGCTACTGGTTATCAATGTCACATTTTCAAGTCAATAGCTATACCGGCACACTTTCTTGGGTATTTTGTTAACTATAAGGATTGTATAGCTAGGAGATAGGTAGGATTTCAACGTTCCTAATTGCTGAGTTATTTCTTTTGCTGAAGGTGACTAATTTGGCCAGCACAAAATCATCTAGTTTAAATTTGATCAGATTGAAACGGGATGTGATATACTACTTTTAATGTTGAACTTTATATTTTTAGTTCTACCTGGTGACTTTTACCAACGTAAAAGAGTTAAGATCTCGTTACTAAATTAAATATTATGTTAAAGAGAGCCTTCTTTCAGTTCTATATGTGTAAAGGGAATCGTTATACCTTGACTATTAAATCTATCTCAACTACTGCAACCGACCTGTGTGCCTGTTAATGGTGAACTATTATCTACCGTTAGAAAGCTATTTTATTGTCCCAGTCTGTTGTCCAGTTCTACTTAATCCTTAAAAAAAACAGAAATGAAAATAAGATAATAACTCCAAACCAATCCCGAAAACACATTCTAGGAAAATAAATAAAATCTATTAAAAAAAACATTTGAGAAATGCCTGAAGGATAATGAGCAATGGTTGGAACCCAATTTTTATTTTTAGGCAACAAACCTTTAATACTTTATTCCGTGTATTGCCTGATATTAGTTTTTACATTGAACTTTGTTCTAATAAAAAATCGATTTTTAATCGTTTTGAATTTTTAAATAGTATTAACTTGTTTTTTGTTTGCCTATATTTAATTAGTATTATCCTCGCATTTGGAACACCTAGAGCTGTTATCAGGCTTATGGAAGCCCTGTTCCCTACAAGGTCTACGGTAAACCTCATGCACAGCAAGGCGAGTTACGACATGTCTTAAGTCGGGTCGTTCCTCTCTATCAGTTGCCCGCACCCAAATTGAATTAGTCCCTACAGATTCTCGCAAATTTTTCCTTCTAGTCACTAAGCTTGACCATAAAGGTTTTCCTGGGAGCTCAAAGCGGCGACGTAGGTCATCGGACAGCTATAGCGAGTCGGTGAGGAAATACGAAAAACGATTACAAATCGTTCTGCATAATTTCAATGTCCTTTTGAAAAAAGAGGTTTTACCCATTTTAAGCTGCTCCCAAATAACGCGTATCTCGTCTGTTACGACCTGAGCTATCTTGAGGCTAAGAGCAGTTACGAGGGGCAAACGATGAAGCGATTTGATCGCCCAAGCGGTTAATAATGCGTTTCAAAGACTTGGACGGTGAAACTTCTATTCTTGACGGAGATGAGCAACCCTAGATATGATAACCAGCTACCAAAAACGAGAGGTTACTCAGCGAGAGGCCGCTTTCCTTTTTTGTTCGAAACTTCACTTCCGTTTTAATCAAATTTACCAGCAGTCCTTAACTTTGTAATTGCTGCACAAACCTGAAGTAGAGCTTGCCGTATCTCAAACCTGGTTAAACTGTTCACCTCTAAGCCTACTAGCATTTTTTTACTTGATCACGGATATCCCTCAGCGAAATGAAAAACCAAAATTGACTTTCATTAAGTCAAGTTCGTTGTCTGTACAAAAAACAAGTTTGCCCGTTCTGTTATCGATGATTATTCTACTTACTTGTATTTCGCAGTGAAAAGGTTAAGCATGTGTATAGAAACACTTGTCCCGCCAGAGTGAGCGCCACCTTATTTCTGGGCGCCGAGTCGAAGGCTACTTTGAAATACATAATCATCGCGTATAACGAATTCCACGGCGCAGCTACTGTTTTCTCGACACCGGCCATTCAAGAAACCCATAGGGTTTCTTTGGAACAGCATGTACGCTTTTTTTGTAGACTCCAGCAAACCGGAGAGCAGCTTATAATGAATTGATGGAGTTTACCAGTACGTAAACATTTATTAAATATCCAGCACAGTGGCAAAACATAGGAGTCTTGAGGTGCGGGTCGAAGACCCTGTTTGGAACGGCAGTTTTCTTATTTTGCTGGCTTCTGTGACCTTGCGTAAGTCCCATACTGTAAAGCCCTATAGAAATACATAGAGTTGTATTAAGATGCCTCTTTTCACGCTTCAGCAAAGAATGGTAGCGCGCAAGTTATTTTACTGCATGACACAAACGATTTTACAAAGGCCGAGAAGCTAATCGGGCAAGTCGCCAAGCTGCTGTTATGCATCAGCCTGCATAAACTACCAAATAGGTCTCCGGTTCCATGTATTTTTGTCGCTATGACGCATACGTTTTTTGGTAGAACAGAGGCTAAAAAGTAGAACTCGGATTGTACCCCAGTCAAAAGCTTTGAACCCATTCTGGTCCTCCGCGCAACTCGACAAGTCTAGTAGAACCATGGTATACGCCTCTTGGGGGAAAACGAAGGAGTTGTACAGTAGACTGAAGAATTCTGACTAGAAGCTGGGCTCAAGTTTTGGGAGTCACTACCATGTAAGGATCTGAAAAGATTTCGTGGGCGCGTACCAAAAGCTTGTCCACCTCTGAACGTTGCAGAACAGCTGGTATATAATAGTACGCGCAAATGCAACCTTACCATGAAATCTCTTGCTATCGATATGTGAGCTTTCGCATTTGTACCGTTTGCAAATAAGTCGCTCTCATTCTGAAACGTTAGTCAGTTCGTACGATTCGCGTATTACGTTTATTGGAAATATATCGATAACCGAACTTCCTGCATAAACCAGTGAGGTTTATATTAAAATATGATTGACTATCCAACAACTGAAATCTGTAAATGTGTTCTGAGAGATCTTAGTGCGGCCGGCGAGGCGCGCATTGAGGTCGTCGGCGATGAATAAAAAAGGGGTAGAACTAGAGAACGTCGCTTCTTGATCGCTGACAGGGTTTTTTTATTATTTTTAAATTTTTTTTTATACTTTTGAATTAGCCAGCCGAATCTACGTTTCTACGAAGTAGAGTCGATGATATTAGGGCTTACTAGGCATAGCGTAAAGGTACCTATCTTAGGAAGTACGTTCACTGGTGCGGCATGCTTCATTGAACTGTAGTCCGGAAGGATGCACAAAGTAGGAATGTGACGTTCAATAGCCTAGTTGCTTAAGCTTCCGGTAAAAGAAGCATGTCTGTTTTATTAAAAGCTTCTGGAGCGATGAGCATCAAAGTTGCGGTAATCGTACGGTCGCAATGTGCAAATCTAAGTGTCTCCTTGAGGCCCGGCCGTGCTGCGCACTATTATAACCCAGGCGAGCGGCTTCGGTGGTTGTAAGTGTCGCACGCTGCAACTGGCGCTTCAGTCATCAATACCGTCAAGACCTATCTTGCGATACTCGATCGAAAGTTGGATAGGACGTATAAGCGTACTTTCTTTCGACGCAGTGCCGCATTTACTATTAAAGGTTCCTTGACGGTGGCTTTGCTTGGCTGGTGCTCAATATTATGAAGCTAATCCGACTGATGAAACGTTTAATGCTTTGGGAGGCCGGTTGAAGTACTTTAAAAATAATAGTAATAAAAGTAATATTTTGTGCTGAGAAAAGGATGAGAAAGAAGAAGCTATCCAATATTTGAATATTAGAGACAAATTAAAAAGAGGATTCAGTAAACGCAAACAGCGAGAACCTGAGTATAATATATATATATATATAGCAGAGATACTTATAGGACAGACTTATAGGACACTCTGTCATTAATCCACCCTATGTAATTCGGTTAGTGGTGCTTACCTGCCATTTAATATGGATTCACGCTGACAAAATATCGATTTCCTCAGTATACAGAGCACATTCAAAAATTACATGATGATTTAAATATTCTGACATTTTATAGACTGACATGCTAAGAAATTCTCAGTAGAATATATAAAAACACAAATTTTATTGTAAGGTGCATCTCAGCTAGCTCATGTAATTTTATTGTTGCCTATATACCAGACTCATCTTTCACTTTTTAAAACAACCTTTTAAAACTCTCTCATCTCAAGTAATCTCAGTATATATATAAATCATATAAGTATAAGTATATACACCTATAATATGATTTATATTTATAATATGATTTATTACAAATGAAAATAACAAGGGAATAATATCCGGAAAATTGAGTTCTTTCATTCTTCCTATACTGTTAAATGTAAAAAAAAATGCCGTAAGGAAGCTCATTCGGGCCATTGACCTAACCAATTTCAAGGAAAGAATGGGAAAAATAGTTGTTTTTTGTCACTTGAGTAATCTCTTTACTAAAGTTCTATATAATGGCTTTAACCGTACTTAATTAAAGCATCATAGTTAAAACTACGAAGAAGTGGGCATACCTTTGTGTAACGTATTTTTTTATATTTATAATATTTATATTTATAACACACAACTTTAACGGCTGCTGTATTTACATCCACAACTCGTCTCACCTCTAACGCCTACAAGAACTGTTCTTGCGTTCGTATTGCGAGCTGCAATACGGCCAAGAAATTAGCCCTAAAATTTCTGGCAAATAACGCTGGACTGTATTTTGGCTGTCAACATGTATTACCTTATTCACTAGGCATGGACTTGCTTATAATCATCTGATTGCTTGACACATCGCTTCACTAAGATCTTATCCAATCTGTCTCATAGATACTTTAAACAGCGTCCAAAAAATGGCAGTGTGACCCCCCCCCCCCCCTTTATTATGCCATACTGATATCCACCTACGTAATATATACTTACAGAGGTTCTTTCTGATTCAATTAACTACGACAACAATTAAAATAGGAAAATCATTATTTTCTGGATTTACGCCGACTCCTTCCAATCCTGACTCCTTATTCTTTTATTACTGTGAAAAACAGCGGTAGCGAATATTTTGTGCTTCGGTAAATAGACACATTGGTGTACAATGTCAAGACACCTAAAAAAATGTAAATACATAAAATACAATAATTATATTGACACGTTAATATAACAAGAAACTCTGCACTAATATCTGCTAGAACAGAAGCCAAAACACGTAAACAATGACGTGGTTATTTTGAAAATTCACAGAATATATATACTTTATATAGCTATAATCCTAAATTTGAACATTTTATATGGCGTGCAATGGTTTTTTACATGGAGTCATGTATTAACAAGTAATAATAAAAACTAAGCAAAAATCTAGACTAGACGCAGCGCTTTTAACTAAATTAGGGAGATGGCTAGTTGCTACATGGATACACTGAAGAAATCTTTGTTGGGTTAACATGAAAAAAAGGAGCTGATCTCAAAGCTCTTCAATCTAATAATCGACATCTTCAAGTGAGCCACATAATTACTAATGTATAAATACAAATAGTTGTTACGTAAAGTCGATTTTTCGCATTCATCTTGCTGACTGTGAAATTTAAGGAAAGATATGTGAAACACGGTTAATCAACAATACGCTCACACTATTTTTTACACCTAATAGTTTAACTATTTTTAATTTTTTAATTTCTCACCTATATGTGACCTCATTTTCTGCGAGTTGTTGCCACCGTAGAATTTCCACTTTAGTTGTATTTTACAGCTCGTTTTATGCTTAAAGCAATTAGTACTTACAGTGCGTATCAAAATATGCACCTGTTTTACTTGAATTGAAAATTTATTTTTCAGTAAAAAGCAGTGTGTAATGATTCACTTCTTAATCACCATTCAGGTAACAAATAACCATGGTATAACGTACAATTTCTTAGAAAAATTGAAAAAAAAAAGTTTTTAGTCTTAAACATCAGTATGACACGACTGTTGAATATGCTAATGAAAAAATTAGAATTATTAAACAATTATTTTTTTAGGAAAAAAATAATGTAAAAATAAGACAAGTGAACATTTAGATTGCAGTTTTTCTTGAGCACGCGAAAAGCTATTGAATGTAGCCGGAATGAATTCTATACCGAGTAGACTTCGAGATTATTATGATCCAGCATTAACCAATAATGTTATAAGACTTTAAATTACTCGAAAAACATTCGAGAAAAAGATGGGAAGGCATCTTGCTTGACCCACAGTAAGTTCCATAGAGCGCATAGTTAACTAAAACAGAATCAAGTTTTTTAAAGCTTTATTTTGAAATCCAGTACTGGCACAGTATTAGGCGAGAAGCGATTATTACCGCCGCGATCGCGAAATTATGTTTTTTGTTTGTAAATCGACTGGCATGAGAGAAAGAAGAATGGAAAGAGTGCAGTGGATATAGCCAGTGCTTCTTCCGCTGCGGACTCTACAGGTAGTCATCGATAAAAGTTGTTTGTAGATGTCTGAGAATTCTAGACGTCTTTAACTGTTCAAAATGTGAGGTATATGTAAAATATGATATGCCTCATTCATGCATTGCGTGAGCGAATCGCAATAGATATTAGATTATCCATCAGGTTGCCGTGTTAATGAAAGAGAACTCTTATACATTTTCTTTTGACATAGTAATATGGAACGCTCCCTCAGATTCCGAACTCTCAATGCGCTTATATTACAAGGAAAAGAAGTAGCAGATTGACTTCCTAAAAGGGGCCCCACTATGTTGCGTGAAATATTTTTCCTTATAAGTTGATGTAAAGAAAACTACTGAGAGCAATTATGAATGGAGCGGTTATTTAAATATAGCAAACCCCAGCCATATCAACTCGGTTACTGCGGAAGTTGAGCTTTCGGGCTTTAGTCGTTGTGCTGACACTTTGTGCACATGATGCCCAGAGGCTCCACAATGGCCAAAGTTTGTCTGTAGTACAGTAAGAGATACCGGGTACTATATTTACGCTAAGCATACGTAATTCTATATTGAAATAATTATCGCTTAATTTTTGGGATCAAATTCTGGGTCTACACTTGTGAACTTGACATCTCTCCATTTTATTAGTGCCAGAGCAGATTTCCAAGGCATTCACAAACCTCATTTTTATATGAATTAAATAAATGAAGACAACTTTTATTATCCATGTGAACCTTCTTACATATGTAGTTCGTCTAGAGCGTGAGATGGAAAACATGTAAACAACTGTAGTGACATACTGGCAATTAGTTAGACTCTTAGTTTTGCATATTTAACTTAGATGTGAAAATTAATAATTAAATTATACGTTTTTATTTCAGCTCTAGCAAGTTTGACGAAGCCGTCGCAGAAGATGGAGGCTACCAAAAAACCAGTAGCTCCGAAGAAGAATGTATCTCCAAAAACTAATCTTTCTAATAAGGTATGATACAAAAGTACCTTGCTTTTGTTTATCAGTCTCTGATTTGTTCATGCCACACCTGATACTTTACCCTCTAGTTCGGGCTATTCTAGATGTACCCCGTGACCCTGTTTCCATTAATCATTTTTTTTGGTTAATTACTGTTTTTGTAATAGTACTATCTGATTGTACGCGCCCTCATTCTTTAATTTCAGTGATTTCATTTTCCGTAGACGTTTTTCTGTTTCCACGTAGATACGACTTCAATTTTAAAATTCACAAGATGCAAAAAAGCCAATTGTTTCACCTGTATACAATTTAAAGGTGTCGTTTTACATTTGTGTTAGGCAATTTGGTGGAATAAGGATGTTGATGTTAAGTAATTACATCTATGCTATCATTTTTTTTCACTGCCGCGATTCGCCGCGGTGTTTATAGCAATCCGATTACTATTCTTTAGCTATTACGTCCTTTTAATGCAGAAATTTTGCAATCTCAGAGTATATACGACCTCAGCGTTGAAATATATTATGTGAAAATTAGAAATTTAAATTAGTTTTTGTCATGATTAAATAACGAACTTGTTCCGTTGGTTTTAGATATGATAGTACAGCTAAGGTGAGTACCTACGTGATCGCAGCTATTATCAAGTGAATTTAAGTATACAAATTGAAGCAAAAAATTTTACATAAGAATTCAATACTCATTTGCTATTATGTCGTAAGAAACACATATAGTCGCTGCCGAACCAACGAAGCAAAGGAAGGACGTCAGCGCACTGACCAGCATGATAGACTATTTATCAATATGTGCGCTACCCTGAATAAGTAGTCTTGCTATATTATCAGTGTAGAATAGAAATACATTAATTAATCCTTATCTGCATTTTTGCATATCATTTATAATTTTTTTTCTTTAACTTCATTTGCAAGCCTACTTTTGCTTCCTTCTTTACTTGAATAATTTGCACACGATTTTTCAAGACAGGTTAGAGAAACTTTAATCAGTTTTTGAATACTGCTATTTTGAAGTTGAAACATTAGGCGTGATGATTTCAAAATGTTTCTAATTGACGTATGACTAATATGTATTTTTAGTTAACCGAGTTATAGTTAGACCAAAGAAGAGAAGCTCATGTATGAAAAGATGTCCTCACCTTCTCAATGAAGGCAGTAGTTTTCACCCTCAATTCCTCTCATTTCCCTAATGCTGTCCGTTATGTCACGTCCGCGTTTGATTATAAACAGTGACTCGAAACGACTTCAATTAGATAACATGTGTTTGTTGCTTATTATTCCTACTAGCTGCTAGCACCACAGCTCTTTGTGGCGTTTACGATCTGTATCGCTTATATTTCTTCTCCAGATACTGCGTCTAGTCTAATGTTGTTGAAAAATGTCGGACTGTTTCTACGTGAATTTTTTATAGAAAAATTTCGACTATATACATAAGGGGTCCACACAACAATTTATTAATGGTTACGTGTGCGGTTAATGTACTGGTTTTCACTGTTCTTGTTAGGAGTTGTCCACTACCTCCATATCTCCCTCTTCGGATGCACAGTCCTCCGAAAGTTCCAGCGATCTGGTCAGCCATTCTTCTCAAAATTCAGACCCATCTGAGCAATCTTCAGCAGCAACTCGGTTGTCGAACCAAAATACCGATACTCCGCCTTCTGTAGATACTTCTTCTAAACGACCACCATCAGGACAAGGTCAAGATGCTGAAACTGGTGCTGCCTTTAGCACTGACGAGGTATATAATAATTCTGGGATCTCATGTCTTGTTGATATATACATTGTTATGTAATTATTGTGGTTTTCATTGATTGGATACTGTTGCTGCAAAATCAGTGGAAAGAGCAATATGGTTAACAGTTTGGTGATAAAAAGACATACGAGGGTACGTATGGTATGCGAATGAACTCCGGCTGGAAGGAGTATAGTAGTCGGTATATAGGATATTCCTGCTCAAATTCCGGCTCGTACGTAGCTTTCTGTAACATAGTGTTGTCACGTACTTCTCGAAACCTTACACCTACTTTTTACGTTGTACTGTGATGGCGTCCTTAGCAAGCTACTTATTTTCAGAAAAACTGGTACGACCCACGAATTAACCTCATCAGGCCAACTAACCGTAAAATTATTGTTTTATTATTGTAGCTGTTTGGATTGGATGCTTTCAACTATATTAAGAGGTACAGTTGTCTTTTTCGGTTGAGTGTATCTTTTAAACGCTTTTTCTATTTATGATTATCTTTTAGGAACTAAATAACACTGTGGTAACGTTACGTTACAATTTGATGTTCGAACGATGATACAGTCGATTTAACGGAATTAAATTATTGTTATGTTTGATAGTCACCTACAATGTAATTTTGGTGAATATTTATCATTGGTTTTTAACTGTACGTTTTATTACGATGTGTCACGCAGGCACAAAAGTTACATTTAGCTGTTATCCAGGAATGCAAGTCATGAAACAAAATGTTACACTATTTTGACGGGCATTCTATTTCTACGCAACCTGGATTTTATAACACGATAAATGTTAAAGCTAAACTTTAAAGTTATTTTTTTTATAAATTTTATTTTTAGATTATTTTTTCTTTATTTTCGTTTATATAGTAATAATAATGCTACCTCTTTTTTGCTAATAATAATGCTACTTTTTTAAATATGGAGCGAGGTAGATGAATATATTTTGATATATAACCAAATATTTGCGGCCTGCTTGCAGAACTGCATACTATTACACCACAAACTCACGTATGTAACGACAGTGTATATTTGACATAATTTTGGTAATTCTGTCTCTAGCACACAAGTTCCAGTCTAAGCGCTTACAATTTTTATTCGCTGTTTTTTTCAACGAGATCTATCTCTTCTTTACCAGCACCTGGATCAAATTGGATTCCCCATTATGCCGGCTACTTTTTTCGCTTTTGTTGCGTCGCGTACTATGCTCATCTTCAATTCGTGTTAAATATTTCCATGTGTGTCTGCCCGTATGTCGTTCGACGTGTTTTTGGCATAATTTTGAAACTACTAACAGTTGTTTTTTATGCTGTGATCTTTCACGCTTTATTTTAAGGTAACAATGCCATCTGTGTACAGCATACCATCAGACTACACAAATCAAACGGACGAAGCTCACGAATACTATAGTTCATCTATAGTGACAGACCCGGTGCGTGCTGACACGCTCTGGATAGATTTGGATAGGCTTTCAGATACCGTTACACACGATATGCTGAGTGAGAGCTATCGCCGGGCAGCGGTTAGTTGAGTTATAATCGTTATTAGGTAAAACTTGAACAGATTTAAACTTTAACATCTTTAACAGCATCATAGTGTACATCTTTAACGACTTGTGTACCATGGACTCAAAATAAAAGTGAGAAATCACTTTTATTTTAAGTCGTCCATGATTAATGTTGTAACAAAGAAGCACTTACATCTACTAAACACTACGATTGTGCGACACTGGCGTGTATCCATTATTAATATATTGCTTTGTATATCAACTAATTTTTAGGCATATCTTAATTAGGCATGTTTAAATAGCGTCAAACATTGTGATTGTCCTGATTTTAAGTGTTTGTCGAGTAACAGAAAAGAGTTGATGGAGTTAGAGAAAAGTGAATATAAAAGGGACGTAGGAGGTAAAACGCATTGGTTCCGACCAAGTTAAAGGTTTCACCAGACGATTAGTCTTTTACATTTACCAGGAAGAAGGCGAGTCTAGGCAAGCTACTTTTGTGCTGGTAGTCAAAGATCTACCTTCAAATAATCATCTTCTCAAGGGGGGAAACACAGAAATTTTGTGGGCGACAAGGCCAATCACATCGTTTCAGAAGTCTTGAACTTCTAAGAATTTCGTCATATATGAAGAGAAATTTCAAACACGGTGTTATCAAATTTTATAATAGAACATATACGTACCTTTTCTGGATACTGCCGAAGTATCTATAAGCGAAAACGCGTATAAAAAACAATCATTAATAGAACACGTTTGTTACATTTCTTGAAGTCTTCAATGTCCTAATAACTTTCCTTTATCCATTCAAAACATTTTCTTTTTTTAATAAATGGAGCTATGTCGCAGAGTAAGCCGAAAATATAGTGTGGATAACAAAAAAATCAAGAGATGTTACACTGAGATTAGCCATGCAAACCGTTGTTTTCTGGATGATTAAGAATTATTCCTCGGGTAGCACTGCCAAGGTCTTCTCTCTTCGAGCGCAATTACCACTTTTGGTAAACAAAGTATAATATATTCGTGGCCGGCCTTTGGACTTTGCTCAATAAGTAGAGTTGTGGGTACATGATTACTGTGGCTAAAGTGAGTTATTGATCATTCGTTGACCACCATATCATTGAACTTTTCTTTTCTGATGACCACAGAACCGACGATTTCTTAGGTTACAGCGCTCTCGTAGCTATTGTTTGTATTTTATTCATAGGTACCTTTGTTTCATTATAAAATGTACGCATAAATAGCTCAAATACGAGAAATTGTACGAAAAGGAAGCATGTCAGATTCAAACAATGAATTCTTTAGAAGAATGAATAAACTCAATCAAATATTTTTAGAGTCTATGGTACTTGAATAAGGCAGTGGCAGGAACACGAGTTTGAAAAGTAGTCACAAACTAGTTAGAAATCTAGTGCAAACCTTTCTAAGCCAGATGGAATTCCTCTAGTAGTGACACCCATTATCTTGCTCTAACCTCATTTTGAACTATTGATTTGTAAAACACTCTCTAAATTTGTTACGATCAAGATGCGAACCTAAAATTGAATATCTAGCTAGTAATTACTGTATACTCGATTATCATTTGGTATGGTCGAATTCAAAACTTTCAGACAGTCAACCTGACATTCCTGTTTCCGTTCTACGGCCACCCCATCAACAATGTAACAATAGCTACAGGAGGCTTTCTTTACGTTGGCTACGCTCTGCACCTCTGGCTGGCAGCTACACAGTATATTGCACCGTTAATGGCAAACTTTAAAGCATCTGTCAACTCATCCGCTTCAGCTCTAAAATATCACGACAACGGTTGGTATGGTCGCAAAGCGGATGCACGGAGCATAAAAAATTGGTTGTAAAATTTTCAGAACGCCAAAGGCGTAGAGTTGTAGCTCCACAGAAGCGTAATCACACTTTTTCGTTTTCTAAGGTAATTTTCAGTGGGCTTTACTGTTTATAACATAGATACAAATGCGTGTCCTGATTGTTTGTAACAGATACAAATGGCTGTCATGATTGTTTACAACATAAATACAAAGGCGTATCTAAATCATAATATTTCCCTATAAGCACAAATCTGCGCGAAACAGATTCGAGTGGTGTGGTACTTAAGTATTATTACATTTGCTCGGTTGCTCAATAGTGATTCGGAATGAGAATGAACCAACTTTCTCGTAGTTGAAAATCTTCATTTAGTTCAAAGGAGGCTTTTTGCCACATTTTTTAAAAACAATTCCCAAAATAGAGGGATTAATTTGCCAAAAGATGTATTGTGAATATTTTTGGCTCATACTGTCGCGCTTGCACGTTATATTGGCAATTGCGATGGATCAATAGATGGTGGGTACTCTAAGGAACATAAAATCGATGGAGACCTTTATTGAATATTATGGGCCAATTCTAAATAACCGAAGGCTAATGACGCCATATCTGTATTATAGTAAAAAATTGTATTGTGAACCACAAAATGAAATATCCGTGGAATATGTCTTAAATAGTCCCTTATAACCATTAGTTACAGATAATTTTTAAAAACATGTAAGTTGCGACCTTGCCGAGTCGCAAAAGACTTAAACAACTAGATGGTCACAATGAGAATCGTACAAAACATGGATATGGGTTTCTATTTAAAATAGTTGAATCTCAGATAGTCATTTAAGAAGTGGGATACGTCCTAATCGTCAATTTATATTTTTGTTATATAGGAACGATGTTTGTAGTGGAGTGGCGAAATGTCCACCTGGATGATAAACCGGAAGCCGGGAATTTTACCTTCCAAGCAATTCTACATGACAACGGTGATATCTTTTTTGTTTACCGTGAGATTCCTATTGCTATTTCGGAGATAGCTGAGAAAAATCATCCCGTTAAAGTCGGAATTTCTGACGCATACCTCTTCAATAGCGTTGTGTCTCGTAAGTATTTTTGCGTAAATTAATTTAAAGTTGAATTTTCTTTTAGGGAAATTCATATATTCGTATGATCCTTGTAAATATCTGACAAAGGCAGCATTGTCACAAAATATACACACGTTTGATTACATCGTATGTTGTCAAAGTTTCATCACTATTAAGTTTGTTTATCCGAAAGGGTATTATCGAATCTCATGAGCTAAGAATTATTTACGACTAATTTCTGAGTGCATTCATAAGTACACTCTTCAGATTATCCCTTAAATTCCACTAAAAATTATAGGTGCAAGTTGATAAAAATAGGCTTCCTCAGCAAATATGCATTTCTACTATCAATTAGAGTATCCTTTGTTTAATTATAATGTTTATCCTGGCGCTCAACAAATGAGAACTTGGCATTGTTGAATTGACACTTTGTGTTAAAAACTTAGTCGTCAAAAGCATTTTGAAGGTACATAAGCAGATGATGGTCAGAGAATGCGAGATCAACTGAAGACTTGTACATGAAAAAACATCGCTGCAGCTGGTCATACTTGTGATGTGTTTGTGAGCGTTCCTACTGAAGAAGCCTTTCCTTTTTAAAAGGTTGGGTTCCTTCTCGCGCAGGAGAGCTGCCACTCTTTCACGATGTGCAAAGGCATATAGTGCGTTTTTCAGATTTCAAAGACTTCCAGTGAACACTGATACTGTTAGGCCACTAAACACATAATTGATGTTGTTTGTCCTCTATTCAAAATGTCTCAGAGTCGACTTATTTAATTGTCCTTTTGTGACCTTGTTTAATTGTATTGAATCCACTATGAATTCTAATGAATACTGAGAAAGAATTGAAAATGAAGTCGGCAGATGTTCTTTTTTTGCTTATCGATTAATGAAGTAAGATTTCACTCCAATTGAGTGCATTTATCGTATTACGTATATCCTAAACAATCTCTTACTGCGATGTTTGATGCATAAAGGAGTTCCGTAATAGCGTTAATCAATGTCTTCTTCATCTTAAAGGTAGTACGGATTTCTCCGCATATGTTCGCCATGGCTTCTCTAGGTTCAAACCTGAAGCCGAAAATTAGTCTCCTCTTATAACAACATGATTTTTTAGCCGACAAATTGAACCGTTTTTAGTATAACTTTATTTATGAGAAATCTAATCGCTACAGAAATCAGTTTTCTTGAATGGCTAAAGTTCCCAGAAATTCATCTGTACTAGCAAAATTTGAAGCGACAAAGCTACTTTTCAGTAATTATGCCTTCGATCCCGATAGCTGATTCTCTTCACCAGGTAGCACTGATAAGAAAAACACACGAAAGGAGCAGTCAGCGATGTGCAATACTAGTATAATGCAGCAAATGCCTTAAGGCTTTTCAGATGCCTGTGGTGGTAAAGGCCGTATAGATTCAGGCAGTAAGGGCACATGCGAAGGAATGCAAAAGAAGCCCCCCTTGGCTTTTGCTGCAGGCATCTTCTCGCAACCTTTCTGATCCATATCCCTCGTAAAGTCCTCTGTCGCTATAACCGATATTTTACAGTGCCAACAACGGAAACCAGCCCTTTACACTGCCAACCAGTACAAACTGCGTAAAAGACTCAAAAGCATCGCTTCTAAAGTAGGTGCTTTGAAACCAATGCTTTAAGGTTATTTAATTCATTGAAAGCCTTGCAAGAAACGTAGTTTCAGACTATTTCGAAACCATACTTAGGAATACTTAATTTAATAGTCTGTACTAAAACAGACTCCTAAAGTTTATTGTAGCGTAAGTCGTTATTGACGTTGCGTGGTTTCTTTTTGAATGTGTTTAAGAAAAATTAAATCATTTGTCGTAATTCATGGTCTAAGAATGTAGGTGACATACTGAACTTTTCCACCCGAAGGCGTTAGCTTGCTAAAACAGAGAAACGATTTTTTCATTTAAACTTTGCGGCTTTAGTTTTGGGTCATTACTCTGGAGCGAACTTCCTGGAATTATAGGCGTCATAGCCTGTTGAAAACGGAAGCGACTTTCCAACTATATTGGTATGTTATTCGCGTACTAAACAATTTTTAACAGATTCATGCCCGTCCTGGAGTGCTACTGAAAGATCACCGACTTCGACGACAGATGAAAGCGGACTAACGTCCTTACGCGGCTGCTGTTAGCTGTTCGAACATTGGGTGTTGAGCAACGCCGATGTCTGTCAAGTTTGCTTTTAGAATAACAAGAAGAGTCGAATGCAAAAAAGTATATCAGATTATGTTCATTTCAGCAGATTTTAAGTCTTACGGAGCTTTGTCGAACACAATCTTTATGGAACTTTGTAAAGAGCAACCGCTTTTGGCTTGACATTGTATCAAATAGAATTTAGCAAGTAGTACACATATCGAAATTTTGGAACCCGTTGTGTTTAGATGGTAATAAACCTTGTAATTCTAAAAAGGTTCAACGGCACGAAAATGTTCTTCAAGTTTCATAAAGTTAAGTATAGGAGATGCTAGAGGAGATTAGTAATTCTGGAAGACTTTTTGCATAAACGAAAATACGCATTAGATACTTGTTAGTTGTCTTGTTGCTTTTGTGCATTTTCCTACAAAAAATGCAAAACCATTTATCATTGTGTTATTACTGAATCGCCCATTTTGTAATCTATAACGAAATCTTGTTCTTTCTCGTGTTATTCGATTGTAGCTCTGAAGCGGAAAACAATTTACGAATACCATTCGATTAACAAAAAATCAGATCTGCTGCGTTCGCACACGGCTATAGTAATGAGTGCGCTGCCCACCTGCGTGTCTTTGAAGACATGCGAGGAATGTACTACTGCTCAGATCAACTTTAACTGCACGTGGTGCGACGCTGTCAGACGCTGTTCTTCAGGTGTCGATCGACATCGCCAAAGCTGGATCAACAACAAATGCAAAGAAAATGCCATGGTATGTTGCTCTTGGTCATAATGGAAGATTTATATATATATATATATATATTGGGTGATCAAAACAGTTTTGATGGTTTTTAAGCCAAAACTAGGGCAAATATTTTATTTTAAAGGAACGTTGTTCAACTGATTATGCATCATTTTGATCGATAACATTATGCCATTTTTCTAATAGGACTATAGTTCTAAAGTTGGGTCGTTCTAGGGCGAAAAATTTTGATATGTGATTCCCCCGTTGTAAGAGAATCAACACCGTTAAGGAGGTTCTGCAGAGATCGGAATAGATAATAATCTGATGACGCAAAAGACGGCGAGTGCACTAGAATTTTTCTCATCAAGAAGTTCTCTCAATTTTCAGTAGCCAGAGACGTATGTGATCTTGTATTGCATAATCGAAGACGACACCCCTTCACTGGTTCCAGTCGATTTTTCAGTGGCTTGCTGTAATTTTTCAGTTATTGATAGTAAGGGTCGAAATCAATTGATGCCAGGTGACAGCAGCCGAGAATGCACGATTCCTTTCGCACATGGCATCACCTTTTTTAGTCTATTGGGACTTTGCCATAGATTATATATATGGCTTGTTAAGCCGCTCGTTTATTCAAACTAACGATAGCAAGTTCTTTAACCCTAGACCTGGAAGGGCGAGCAACAACGAATTGCGGTTAAATTCAACGGCCGCGTTTTGTTTGAGTGGATGTCAGCGATGGTGCGAGGGCATGGAACAAAGGTGACGATGCAGCTCCCTTTAACCGCGTTCCAAGAAACTAGGCCGCGCATAATGGATCGTATGAGATTTGGAGCTTTTTATCCTATACTTCTTATATTATAGTTATAACGAACAACTCGCCGACGTGACTGTAAGTTGTGTGGAAATGTACGTTAGATTAAACACCTAATGCGGTGAAGTGTGCGCAGCGTGGGCTCGCTCTCGGGAGCGTCGGTATTTTTTCTGGTATAATAACCGGCTTGAGTCGTGAAACGTAGATGACTTCTTTCTGGTTTTAGGTGACCTTGCATTGTCGATATGACTTCCATATTTGTCGGATGGGTTATAAAATTATGACAAGCACGTGCTGACAAGCACGGTTAGTATGTTGGCGAGTGTTCTGTGCGATCGTTCAATTAGTCTGTTCGTATTGGAGTGGTAGCCGGAGTTCGGCAGTTATCGATTCTATAGAAAGCCGTGATTTTCTCCAGTAGCGTTTTCGTGAACATTCTATGTTTGTTATAAGGACGGTGGGTGCTCCATGTATGAGTATGATCCGATTGACCAGCAATTTCACGTGTTCCTCTGCTGAACCACCCGATAACGCTTCCGCTATTAAATACTTCGTAAAGTGATTCATAGTAGTAGTTGTGAACCGGTTGCTGTTATTTATCTGGCTGAAGCATGATGAACCAATTTCAGTGGTATGAGAAAAGGTTTCAGACGTCAGCGTCTGTCGTGGGAGGCCAAACTAAGTCAAAGATATTTTCTTCTTCGTGGATAGCATTCTAAATACAAATGGATTAAGCATCCATATCGCGGTATGCTTAGTATGAAAAGTACTTTTTCGGTAATTAGTTGTGCATCTATGCCAGGCTTTTATATCCTTGCTCTTTGAATCCATGGTAGGCGCGTATAGCCTCTTCGCGATATTTATCCTGCAGTATGAGCAGCCGGTCGTCACCTCTGTCGGCTTAATTATATATAAAATATACCGTTTACGGTGGTGAATGTTACTGAAAACGATGCTTTTGCTACACTTCTCTGTAACAACGAGTCATGGTCGCGTGCAAAGTGGACCATGGCGATGGTAACTTTCTGGTTTTCTTAGCTTAAGCGTCTTGCTTATCTTCGTGTTGTAGTGGGTACCTTGAAAAATAGTAAACGTTCCGACAGTTCTTCCATTCCTTAAAAGTAACCGTAATTTGGTATTTCTGCAGTTAAAAGACCCACCACGGTAGTCGATCAGTCAGATGCTTAACCGGTAGTCACTTAATTTTTTATTGGCCATCTGCATATGTATGAGTAGAGCTTGTTCATTGTAGTGGCTAGGCATTTCCGTTCAATTGTAGGATAGTTTTTTGTGTCTTGGACGAAATTCTGCTACCAGAGAAAACCACTTGTTCCTCTGCGTTACGAAGTTCCTGTGAAATCAGGATATCCAGTCCCTTTAAAAAAAAGGTAGCGCGTTCTTCAGAAGGTCATTAAGCGACGACGTGGTTTTCGAAAAATTAAGGACGCAGCCACTGTAGTATGATAAAACCCCAGAATGCTCCTAACTGCTTTTTTGTGTACTGGTTCCGGAAACTCGTCGGTGATTTTTGTGTTGGCCTAGTCTGGTTGAATGCTGCATTTCGATATAGCCCTGGATCCAAAGCGTTGTAACCTTAAAGAAACGTTTTATTTGTTATATTTAGTTGAGAAAGTTGAAAGCACCTTGCAACCGTAAATCGTTCTCGTAAGATCCTTCTAAAGACATAAATATTACCCGAGGTAGGCTAGGCAAAAAGATGCATTGTCGACTACGAAGTGCGTCGTCCATTGATCGTTCAAACGTTCCGAGGTATTGTATAGCCCGAAGTGCACCACGTTGAACCTAAAGCCGTCGAGGGTGGTAAGCTCTGTCTTTTCGATATCTCTTTCCTCTACTGGGTACTGGAAGTGTCTTTGGTTTAGGAATGACAGGCCGATAAAATCCATCAGGCAATCAAGTGAACTGCCTGTCAGTGATAACGAATGGATGCTTTTCTTATTTTGCTGAATTCTCTGTAATCGAAGCAGAAGCGGTACTCTCCAATCTTTTTTACTACTACTACAGGACTGCTTTATGTGTTTGACAGAGGTCTGCTGATGTCCAGTTGTTCAACCTTACGAATCTTGTTTTAGTTTCTACTGCGGCGTAGCGCCAATTGTATCGCCTTTTCGTCCTTCATGTTTATTAAATGTAAGATGTAATTAGGGATGTGCGCGGGGCTTCCTTTGGCTTTAAAACGATATCGCAAAACTGCTTAAGTATATTGTTGATTCCTTATCGTTCCTCAGTTGGTAAATTGCTGTTTATAACTGCAGCGAAGGCGGCCAACGTTAGTTGGTGCTTGTCTTATGCTTTATTTATTGTACTGGTTGCGTTAGCCCCTGTCAAGAGTGCAACTAAAACAAAATCGAAATTTGATTGCAACAGACTGATCCCTTTTGGTAGGGGTACTATCTGGAAAGTGTGCTTTTCAACCCAAACATCTATGTCGATAGTCTGAATTAACTGAAGAGAGCGGTACCAAGATTGACTATATTGAGGAGGAAGTTAGAAGGTTTGGTTGTTTAGTTCCACTGGGTGATACATTAACCGATCGTAGGACCACCATTAGAGGGTGTACCGTCATTGCCTTTAGTTCTCGAAACTGTGTATTGTCATGGCGTCGTGTAATACGAGTATCATGAAAGGAATCTTGATTGTTTGCTTTCAATGATATTGCATTGTTCTAGATCTACGGTATCTTATAGGTATGCCAAAAGTGCGCCTACAAAATATGCTCACTAGGAGTCCTTCACAAATATATAGGATAAGATCGTTCTTTTCGTTGCTCAGCTGGGCCCCTAATATGGAGCATCTATCGTTGAATAGAAGTCGACTGTTGATGGTGGTTAGCTCAAGTACGCTGCCGAAGCGACGTCTTCTGAAGGAACTCCTACTTACGGCTTCTAGATCAGGCAAGGCTATTGTAGAAGGTAGAAAGGGTACCAGCGATTCCAATCGGAACGCGATTGTCCTAGAAATTTCCGTCGATAATTCTAAGTGGGCTCAGGGCCAGTGCCGTTGCTCGTTTCCTGATCTTATACTCAGTAGCCAGTAGTACCGTATTCGAGGAGCGGCAAGCGAGGCTGAACCAGCGGATGCGTTGATGCTCTGGGACGTCGCGTACGGTGATCGTTTTGCTTGTTTTCGTATTAGCTAATCGCATACCCGTTTGCGCCGGACCAGTTACACATCCGCCAACCATTAGTGTCTTTCTATGGCCTTTGAAAAGCAGGTTGTCTTGTTGATTTTGGTTGCGGGACATGACCGGGTACGGACTGGGCCGGTTGACAGACGATGTGCCTCCGTCAAGGGAATGAGTGCCAGGTCTGCTTTCAAGTAAAGATGCGTGCTCGAGGACGTTGAAAAACAGCATGACTGTTGTCTGTGACGCAGCTTTGCTGGCGAGTCTCACCCTGTCGCATGATTCGGGTGCATAAATCTCAAGATGGTTTCGATCTGAAGACTTGTACGGATAATTACAGTGCCAGGCAAAGATGTTAAGGTTGGGCAACCTCTCCCTAGGTTCCTTTATGCCGGGTACGATAACGAGCACAGTTCTGTACCATTATAGTGGCATAATTTTCTTTGACATAAGTTGGTACCTAGATGGACTGCTAAAAATAGATCATTCTTCTATTCGGATCTACAATAGTGTGATAATTGTTGTAATTGCAAGTCTGATAACGGCGAAAACGTAGAATAGAAGAAAGATTTCAAACATCTATTAAAAATAGCCATAAAGAGCCTGGCAACAAGACCTTCTAATAAATGCAAGGGAATTTTCTGCGCACCATTCTTACAAAAAAAATTATTAGGAACTATTAGATAGAGCGATCTCATATACATTGGACATTCTTAAATCTTGTGTCTAAGTAGAAGTACGATTTGCTGGTAAGGTGCGTTGATGCTTTACCATGTAGCAAGCCCTTTGTCAATTTTCAAAAAGTTTTTTGACGTTATGATTTTCATTGGCTATATATATATATCAAAATACGATAACTGCATCGACATGACTGCTAACAGTAAGCGAAGGCGAAAAACTAACCGTAGCCTATGTTGTGTTTGGCTTAAGGAGTTGATATTGAGGCCTTTCCTCAGGGTTACTTGAATATTTACAGCTTTGCGTTTGGTGTTTACGTCGCGCTCACTTCAATTCAGCCCCGCACAAAAAAACGGTGTTGAAGATAGACCGCCCCTTATGTCGTTGAATTTAGTGGAAAAGTGCGTTACCACTGCAATACAATGGAAACTTGCTTTTCTATTGTTGCGGAAATAACGTAATTAAGAATCTACCAAAAATATTTTTGTACAAAATATCTTACTTATTTTCTTACAGATACACAAAGACCAGTGTCGTATGGAAGCAGTAAACGCACTTGCGGTTGGGGGAGCGGCAGCAGCGGCCTCCAGTGATGGTAGTAACAGCAGTAGTGACGCAGGAGGCCTTTTAGCACTGCTTGTTCTTGTCGTACTCATCTTGGCGCTTGTCGGCTGGTTGATTTACGCGTATCACAACCCTAGGTCAGCCAGTGGGCAGCTCCTAATTAAGTATCGACCTTCACAATGGAAACGCCACGGGGAAGCCCGGTACATTGCAGCTGGTTCGTTGCATATGTGAAGAAAAAACAATAATGAAGAGTGGCGCTCTTTCTGAGCTTGATAGGTAGTGGCGAAATGAAACACGGAAAGGTCTGCCAGGATATTTAACTTGCGTTTTTACTAGAGGAGCAACAGTTGTACTTTAGCAAAGATAATTAGATGGACCAGATGTAACAGTAGCAGCAAATATTGATCGTACCACAGATGATACGATCCAACAAAATACCTTTTCTCTATCACCTTTATGATAACACATGGTGCAACCTGGCTTGTAAAGTGGCTTATGATAAATCATACAGTTCATAATTCATACACACCTATCGCGGCGCGTCCTAATATATTTAGTTGTTTTCCTACGCGATAACGCTCATAACCTCTTTTTTACGAATTACCGTATCAATAACCTGTAACTGGCAATAATACATAGTCGAGAAGTTGACAGCAATGAACAATCTTCATTGAGCCATTTATACATCTAGCGCGCAGTCCACAGTGTAACTCTGCATACATCAGTCAAAAGGAGTCTGTTAATCCTTGACCAAATCGACGCAGTAACTAATATCCGTATCAGTCCTGCTTGTTGTAGAATATAAGGCTGGACCTGTACATGTGCACTATGGTAGATAGTACTCATAGTTTGGATCGTCGTAGGATTTTCACTATATCACTATATTACTAAACTACTGATGCACGCAATGATGGTTATAATTGAAGGTTCAAGTTAAAGAAAATATTAGGTGGATCTAACGGAGAGGCTTTAGCCCGCACAGATCGAAAAGACTTTTTTGTTTGAATTTCGGTATGTAACATCCTTTATTGTCCTGTTTTCCCTAAATATACACATAGGACTAAGATAATTACCTCAAGTGACTGGATATTCAATATAATGACTAAACAGCCAAGGCTGGTATAATTGATGAGAAGATTAAAAAGAACGAAGTTATTTAAACATAAATAGGCACGTCTTTTGCTTTGGAGCGCATTAAGTCTATTTGGTTGAAGGCAAATAAAAACGACTTGCGAAGCTGGTCAAGTGTCGGCATGTACACAACTTTTCTAGCAAATATAAACACAGAATTTATTAAAACAAATATAAACCTAATTACTCTTAAATTCGTGTCAGAACAAATCAAGAAGCGTAAAAACGTAAAAAGGGAAGCTATTGATATTATAAGTGATATTTATGCATTAAGCATTGGTTTCAGGTTGTTTTATTTGGTCTTGAAAATCGCTGCCATCCATATTAATATTGGTTACAATTGTATTAATTGTCTAAAGTATCACTAGGCTTAAGATAATGCTCCATTGCGTAACTTTACGTAAATTGGATGTTAGCTCTGCAGTTTTAGAAAGTTTAAACATCTCTCGGTACCAGAAACATAATCGGATGGCCCTTACCAATAATGCGGCTGCGACTCTTTTTGGCCGTGCTTGTATTACTTAGATAGCTTAATAGCTTATATTGTTAACTGAAACAAATGTTTCTTTTTGTCAAGTTTTTTTTTTTTTAAATCTTTTGAAGCTCAAGGTTTTCGCAAATTTATGAATTAGAAAAACTGAAGAGTAAAAGCTGTCCTATAATATTTCTTTCTGAAATTCATGGGCTCATCTGGTATAAAAAGCGCTTAAGGCTTGTGGGTATTTTAAAACACTGATTTTTTTTAAATTGTCCTGTAGCATAATTTTTTGCACTACAATGAATTCCACACAGACTAATGCTTGGCATTGTATTCCAGAAAGCAGTATAAGTAATGACATTGTAATTTCACTTTACTATTCCCAAAATAAATTCCAGTCTCCGTTCCCCATATCTTCTGCACACATTGCGACATGGTTGCAGTCAATTGACTGCGACCGATCCTGAGGCCACGTAGTATTTACTTAACGTTTCACGGTCACGCTGTTTTTGAATATACAATGGAAAATCGAAGCTTGAGCCATAATAAGTTATTCAACTCTGCCTACATAGACAAGCCAATCAATATACTTGTCAAAAGCAGAAGCCTACATTATATCCATTCCAGGGAGGAATAAATGTATGGACATCTACGGACATACGCACGAAGCGCATAAGGTCCAAGCAGATGCAATAAGCCTTTTGTACCATTTACTAAGTGGTCTTTTACTCACCTCCAAAAATAGAAAGTTACGACTAAAATAGTAGAATTTTTAATAATGTCTCATAAACATCCGTACCATAATACAAATAAATTTCTGTTTGAACCCTGCCTCTACGCATGTTAAGACGTAACACTATAAAAATGTTGCGCGCGGGTTCTCGTCTTTATAAGGCGACGTGTATGTAGTAACAATCTTAGATAACAACATACCAATCTAACCTTGCAAAGTCGGGATTACTCTCTCGCCGTGCCTTCTATATATATATATATGTCACCTATATTGGTATGTAGATAAGAAGTAGAATAACTTGTTGACGTGTAACTACAGTATATATCAAACTATCTTGTGATAATACTTGATTAAAGAAGTAATTATAATAATTCACCACTTCGTTATGTGTATTCACTTCCCATCAAATATAGTTAGTGACAAAGAATTCGCATGAGATTAAAATAAAAATTGAAAAAAAAAACAATCGGTGTTTGAATTTTATCAGTTTTAAAATGGATCCATTTCAATCAATCGGTCAATTAATTTTTGTAAAAAATCAATCATTACTTTGATTTGACTTGTACCATGTGTTTCAATAGCACCTAAACCTTTTAAGACTATATTCAAATCTACAAATATAATAATATAAATAAAGTGATTGAATAATCGTCATATCATAAATTATTAAACGATATATATTTGAACTAGATAATCAATCAATCAATGATTAACTGATTTGACATACGGATGTGTATTCCCATGCCTATCATTTAAGGATTCTTTTTCTTTCACTAATACTGGTACCTTGTTTGTATATTTTTATGCTCATTGTATTTTATAAAGATTAAAAATTTTTACTGGTAAGCTAGCAGGAAATGGCAGACTTGAAGAAAACACGTGAACTCTACAACGAGACTATACGATCGAGTGAGAATCTTTGCGTTCTGATTCTATCTGCTGCAATGATATGGAAAGTGTTGGTACCCCAGACCGTAAGTTAAAGTAACAATTTACGTAATCGCTGATATTTGATGGGGGGCTGGATACGCTAGAAGTCTATGAAAGTATAAACATTACAAAGGTTATAAGCCTTTAAAAACACTTTAAAAAAAATGGATTCTGGCATACTAAATTTAGTGACTAGATGGCAATTTAAGGATGCTTAAATTTTTTGGAGTTACAGTATAAATTCACTAAATTTATTTGCTTGAGTGCAAGATAAGTGCTGTGATAATATGCCAATAAAGCTTCAATTATTGCTGCAATCAGCTCTTTACGTATAAAGACAAGAAACATTATGCGGTAAAGAACTTCATAAAGATGTCGTCATATTAACTATGTGTAGCTAATAATTATCGGTGCGCAAGGTGCTTAGGAGAACAGTCATTTTTTAGATATGGGTGTTGTGCGTCGTGTGTTAAGGGTCAAGTGAATTTTTACTGTTTTTTGTTTGGGCATTTATCTGAAGAATAAAGTGCATGAACATAAATAAATAACATAAAAAAATCTGGAACTTTAAACAGTCCAATAAGTCTCAATAGTATCAAACTGGAGCACAACGATGCACTAAAATGGTGCGATATCTGCAATTTGATTCAGTTTATAAATTGTGCCCCTTGGGACGCACAAATCGTCACGTCATTGGCACAGTTCTGGAACTTCTATGGCGGTTTTTGGTTTGCGATACTGAATAAGTCAAAACGAGAAAGGCATTACATACCACCATTAACTTGCCCGAGTGTTGAACGATTATTTTCATAATCTAAGCAGGAGTCAGGTGTGAAATCGTCTTATCACTCCCATCTGTTGTTAATTCTATGAGCCGATCCTTGGCTAAATCACTAAGAGCCCGGGCAAGTTAGTGACAGCAAATAAGCTTAGGTTTAAAACTCCTTCCCAATATTTTTAACACTTAGAAACCAATAACAAAAACCGAATAGCGCATGTATTACGCAGCTCTGATATGGCTGATTTTTTTGTTTAAGTCCGATGGTATAAAGTATTTCTCACACGGCCTGTAATATCACGCTTTTTGTGGGTTTTCGTCAATTATAATAGCATTTTGAAAATTCATTTAAAGACCTCTTATAAAATTCGATTGCCATAATCGCCCGCTACATTTCCATATATAAAGCCGCGTCCACATTCATGTAATTTTCAGTATTAAGGTAATTTATGAGTAAAGAGGATACAGTAAAACAATTGAAACAGGATTATTATAACCCGGCGTAGGTTTAACAAGATCTGATTTAAGCAACATTTATGATTCGTTTATGGCAGCAGTAAGGAATAAGGAAAGTGAAGGGTTTACACAGTGTAGGTATGTTGTCTGTATAGAAATTAATATTTGAAGGCTGATCTTTATAGAGTAAGATGAATTGAAAGATTTGTGATATCGGGCTTAGGAGGCAGGTAAAAAAAAACAGGTTTTGTATTTAAAATCTTAGCGTACACTTCTTAAGACTTGTTTCTAACATCTAGTTCAAGAAGATACAATTTTTTATGTATATAAGAAAGGAAAAATACCTTCTTGCAATAACAAAATGAAGCGTTTCTGAATCATTATATACTTTTTGTTATTTCAAATACACATGTTGTATTGCAAGCAAGAACACCAAACAAAGCCCAACCACCAGGGCATGCTTCTATACAAAATTGTCAACGATGATGAGAAGTGGTGCCTCAGACAACATATAACAGGTTGGGTAATTTCGAAAGATACATTGAAGTCTACAGTTAAGTTCGATCTACATCCCAAAACGAGCATGACTTACTATATGATAGAATAGACAAAATTACACGCTAAAAAGCGGTGAACAAAGATCTGTACATAAACAGTTGCATTGGTTCAACAAAGCCATCCAACATTTGAAGAGTTGACGTAGGGAAGTGATTTTTTCTACGGCAATGCCAGGTGCAGATGGCAAAGGTTGTAAATGGAAAAATTTGAATGGAGAATTCTTTTGTACTCATTATCTTTTCAAGTCACTGTGCCTATGGATTACCACTTTTCTTATCACATCTTATGGATAATCTTACGGATTACCACAAATACAATTAATCAATGTGCATTTGTCGGTGAAAGAATCTTCAAACTTGGTTAGACTCGTTTTTCAATAACAAATGTGAATATTTCTTAAGAGATGAAAGTTCTTGGTTGAGAAATGAAAAAAAGCTCGTAGAACGAAGAAAAACAAATTGCTACTAGAGTTCGCTGCGTTTTATAAGGTGACCTAACGAAAATCTAATTATCACTATAAATTAAAAAAGATTGCGAAAACATAGTAAGGATTATTTGTAATAAGTAAGTATATTTCATATTGTCACAGTAATCATAAAAGATTGATTGATGTGCATTAAATTATTCCGTTTATGATAACAGCTCACCATTCAGGTGCCCCAAATCACTTCACAAACGATAGCCTTCCTCTGCCTTGATTATGTCTAAAATAGATATGATTTGTAGACAACTAAATCTGTTAAAACCTACTTCATTCCACAGGCGAGGTCAGCCGAACTGCGCAGAGCAAAGTTTCGGAAAAAGGTGCTATTTACATCAAATATTGTTTGAAGGACAAAGGCTATGAGTTGCTACATTGGTGTTGGCTGCCACCAAAAGGCAAATCGATAGTCATGACGTATTTGGCACAAGACCTTTAACCAATGAAACGTAAATTATGTAGAAATGATAAATTGCTTCTATTGTTCCGCTTTCCCCATTGTTTTCACTCAAGCCAATTTTATGATAAGAGTTCTGTATATAAAACGCATTCGTATTATAAAAATTAGGAGCGTGAATACGCTTGTAGGTAAAATCAAGACATCCAACATGAGCTTTTGTGGTAGACTGCACACTTGCTTGTATTATGGCGATCTTGTAAAGACTAATCTTTTCTCGCTTTTGGCATTATCTGCCTATATTGGCTGATTATATAGTTTTCCTGAATATTAATCTAACGGACAACTTTTAGTGTTTGCTGCTATGTGTATGCTGTCTGTGTCTACGTATGTATCTTTATTACCAGTTTTTTTGTTTGTTTCCAAGTCCAGATCTAGCCGTTAATAACCTATCGTTATCTCACTAACTTTAGAACAGAGCACGTGTAAGTCAGTGGGCCTTTTTAACTTGAGCTACTGCTATAATTTGTGCCAAATTACCATAACCAGTGTGAAATTTTGATTTATTTTACAACAAAGTAAATATATGGTAGGCTTACACCAGTAGGTTTATTTTATATTACACAGTTCGTATATGTGTTAGTTACCACTCCATTAATAAGATAAAAGCAAAGAGATATTTAGAAAGCCATATCAAAACACCATAGGGGGTCTTGTTGCATCTCCCGTATTCCCCGGACCTTGTACCGATGGATATTCACCTTTCCGGTTCACTGAGAGATCACCTTTGTTGTGATTGACACAGATTAACAACTCCAATGTAACTGGAAAAATTACTCCCAAAGCATTCCCTTTGGATGCTTTGGGAGTAATTTTCCAATCACGTTGGATTTGAGCGGCGCTCTACCTAGCATAGGGAGGGTGGGATCATATGGGACGCACAGGGGTCAGAATTATTCAAGATGTGAACCTATATGGAACTGTTAAATACTATATTTCTTCGCATTTAATCGAACTGAAATGAAGGCAAAATAGCCACGTTGTTTTCTAGAATAATTTTGCCTCTCCTAAAGTTGTTCTGAAAACAGACTGAATCCCAATGCTGAAATTTGTACCAGCGCGTCCACCTGCCTATTAGTTATGGTCATCATGGCAACGCACCTTAAAAGGCACACATTGTTTACCCAGGCTATGTGTGTTATATTAGAACGAGTTATATGATCACTTTGGAGGAACAAAATGTCATCCATTTCTTAATGCAGAAAATTAAGGCCCATTGCGCAGTACTGAATTCAGATTTCATTAAAATAGCATTGGCTGTTAATAAGCTATGTGAGACATGAAACTGATATATCGTATTTTAGCGATCATAGGCGTTATACTTTGCTGTAATCGGATTTTCATATTTCATGCTAATAGTATTAACCGGCGCGTTCTACCCAACTATCTAGCACGACTATTGTCGACGCGAGACCATTAAGCGGTAGTGTTTAAGCAAGCTTACCTTGTTTGAGTGTTTTTCAAGTGACTTTGCACATTTTTGTACTTAAAGTCCCGAAACAAGAAGAACAGCTGCCACGGACGAGCAGGAAACACTGATTAATAGATTGCTTCGTTAAAACAAATGTACAGAGCGCGGAACTGCTGAAATGTTTCTTGTTTTCACACATACGTTGCTAGAAAGCTGGAGGGAAACCTATTTCTGTCATCGCGTAAAATCAGTAACAGCAATGAAAAAATACGCATTACAAAGTGCGAGGACCGTGTAATTACTTATGAGGTATAAAAAAATAAACTTTTTTCTTATTATGCC